TAAGGAAAGTGTATAAACTTTATTATCATAAAAACAAAAAGTTTTTTGAGAACATCTGTTTTTTGGGTTGGCAAAAGGATCAGCGGAAAGAGTTTTTATTTTTATTTTTCAGGTTATAGGATATTATTAATATGTTTTATCAATATTATTATTTATTTATTATCTTATTTTATTTTTTTTTCTTTATTAATTCATATGATCTTCCAGAAGAACCATTAAGATTATATGTATATTATTCTTTATATATTTTATTCTATTTATTTATATTGGGAAAACATGTATTTAAAGGTAGTATTTTTCCTTTAATTATTTTTAAAGTTGTCTGCTCCATTCTCCATTAATAAAGTTTTCCTTTAATAATGATAAACTATTAATGTTCAACATGTTTCTTTACTTAAATAATTATATTATTTTTGATTTTTAAGAAGAAATTAATAATAAATTTAGATATTTATTTGCAATTATTGAGTTTTTTTACAAAGCTTTAGTATTTTTTTTATTTGTTAAAAGAAGTAATATTTCTAATATTAGAAAAATTAATTTATTTTATTAGCTTAAGAAGTAAAAAAAAACTTCAAATCTTTATTGATTAACTTGAAATAAAGTATTTATCAAATTTTATATTTATAATAGTTTATATTATTATTTTATTTAAGAAAATAGATAGATATAATATAATTATACAAAATATGTATTATATTATAATTATTGTTTAAAGTTATATAAAAACTAAATTAATTATTTTTGTATTTAAAATAGTTGTATTAAATGTTTTATTTAAAATAATTATCTTATATACTATTGTTATTAATTATTTTTTTAACTAGAATTAGAGTATTTGAAGAGGCAAAGATAATTTGAAGGTTTTTTTCTTAATTAAAAATGTTTGTATTTGTTTATTAGTAAATATATTGAGTTTGTTTTAAAGAATATAAAGACTAAATAAAATTTAAATTTTGTAATTTTTTTAATAACAGTAGCTTTGTTATTTTTTATTAAGTTAAAAAAATATTATAAGTTTATAAAAGTATTAATATTTTTTAAGAACATAGGTTTCAAGATTAATATTATTGCTATAATTAAGAAAAATGAAATTCTAGTTTTTTGAATAGCAATAGTAAGTTATTTAAAAAAAAATAGAAGATAATTGTAGATTTTTAAAATATAAATTTAAAAGATATGGGGATTTTTAAAAATAATTATTATTAGAAGTTTTTGAATAATAATATGTTTAGAAGAATATATTATATTTAAATATTAAAGATTTTTTGGAGAATTTTTTTTAATATTTTTATAAAATGCTATATTAATTGAAAAGAGTTTTTTTTAAAATTATATAAAAATTATATATTTATTAATATAATTTTTATGTTATATATGGTTTTAATATTATTTTTAGTATTATTATTAACAAATATTTAATATTTTTTTATATAATTCATGACCTTAGCTTTAAAAAATTACTTGTTTATTAAATAATATTAAACTTTTAAATTTTTAAACTTCAAAAATTATTAAAATTAAAATATCTAATACTGTAACAATATTATTATATAATTATCAAAATTGAAAAATTAAATTTAATAACAATATTATTATATAATTATCTTAATAACTAATTATATAATATTAACAAACTTTTTTAATATAAAACTTTATATAAGCTTCAAAATTAATACTTATTTATTAAATAATATTCTGTATTGATAAAGATATCAATCAAAACTTTGAAAAAAAGCTTGTCTTTTAATTTGAATAGGCTTGCATAGACTTGAATAATATAAATGATATTGTAAAATTTGATTGAAATATAATTTACTATATAAAAAATAACATAAAAAAACTATAGAGCTGACTCAACTCAACCTGTTAGGGGCCCTAATATCAACATTTTAATTTTTTGAAAAATTTAAAACTTAGAAATTTAATTAATAAATTTATAATAAAAATCATATGATTAATAATATTATATGATATAAATATAAATTTTGTTTTAGAATAATAAAATTACACTTTAAATTGTTATTTATCTTTGAAAATAATTACTGATATATATAATAAACTTGATATACAGTATAACCTAGATATTAATTATCAATAAAAGATATGCATTGTTATATATTGATTCTTATAAAATTTAATACTGTATATTGTAAAAATTGGAATATAACTTATTGATATACCATTTTTTTAATAACAACCAATTCTTGTTTTTTTTTGCCATTTACTGTATTAATATTTGAACTTTATTGTTTGTTGATTATATTAGTAAAAGGATCACGACAGTATAAGCTATACTGAAAATCGATACTTGTAATATCCTGATATTCTGAGTGCCCTTAAGAGTTATTAGTATATATCCTTCACATAACATATTGTAATAAACTTTGAAATATTAAATATTTTCATAATATAAATATGTAGTGCTGGTACTATTAAGTATCGATATGCTTACACTTTGGAATTAGATTATCAATAAGACTTCTAATCACTAATTATTTTTTTCTTTAGCGAACTGTGAACGTTACTTGCGCAAGATTTAAGCCTGCCACACCGAATAGAAGGCATGGAGATGAAATTCTCACCACGTGAGTAATAAAACATCCGTGGCGGTGCAAGTACCAGTGCAAGTCCGCCATGTGGAATACGGCCATAATATGAGAAATATTAGTCTAGGGGTGATAGAGAACTCATGCAAATTTCACCAAACATCCAAGAACATTCAAATGTTTTTTTTAATTACAGTATCGTGATAAATTTTGCGCAACACATCATTATTTATTCTGTATAATATTATCCACAGAATCCCTTAATGGTCCGTTTTTATTCTGGGAAGAATATTCCAATGATACTTGGTCGAGACCAAAACCTCTACGAAACAGACAAAGATCTCAATTCCTCCGGTTGTTTCTATCAGAAATCGGTCCCAGAAGGCGCAAACGGAAGACTTGATAACGATTTATTATATGGCCTCAATACTCAGCTCAGAATATCAAAACGGATATGGTATGACGCCGTTAAAGGGTTTAATCTCACTCGTGACTTCGCCGACCTCATTGACTCTATGATCAAACAAACTGGAAAGAAACCCACAATTATAGCAATCGGTCCTGTTACTAATATTGCCACTCTTCTACGTGCCTTTCCAACTTATTCCAAAAAAATTGAACGAGTTGTCTGGCTAGCTGGAGCTTTAAAAGTTCCCGGGAATTTATTCAGCGTACCGAATAATACTGGAGCCGAATTCAACGTTTTCCTTGACTGTGTCGCCGCCAATGAATTACTTGCTTCTGAATTAAATATAACCTTATTACCACTCGATTTTACGAGTAAAACGTTGCTCAATGCTGCTTTCTTTGATAAACTGTCAGAGCTTACAAGTTTTTACGGGAAGTTCACATATAATCTTTTGTCAATTATTCGAGCGACATGGTTTGATGGATATTCCACGTTTTTTGCTAAATATCAACTTTGGGATCCTAAAGCCGTCTCCATTGTTAAGGGGATAGACGTTTCGGAGCCTATATCAAACCGTTCATTGGCTGTTACTTGCGTTGGAGATGTAAACTGTGATGGACAGTTTATGGTTTCTCGGGTTTTGACTAAGGCTAATCTTTATGTTGCATTGATGTGCTTAGAAAAGAGTAGGCTTGTACAAGTAACTTCACATAATTTTATTTATTTATTTTTCTATATTTTCATTCCCAGAAAAAGGTAAGATAATAAAAAAAGTAAAATAAAATTTCTCAGATGAGTATTTTGTCCGAATAGATATATTATTATGTTATCTTTGTAACGTAATATGTTGTCATATGTATTTATAAATTCCCAGGGCTCAAAACTTTTGAGAATTGGCATACAAAAAATTTTTCTTATTCATAACAGCAATTTTTAAGTTGTCACTTGAAATCTGAATTCCAGACTTGCGTAACTTTTATTTTATTTAAGAATTTGAATTAGAAAAAATATTGATATGTGATAATTACTTAATTAGTATAATATTATTACAATATTTTAAAGAAAGTTAGTACAAAATAAAAAAATTAAAAGGTTTTTTACATCATTTTTGCTCTATATTTTAATTATAATTATGTTCTTTATAGAAATTAGTTTTTAAGAATGAAATTATCGGATAATAACTAAATGTTATATTATAATATTTAAAAGATTTTAATATAATTTTAAACGATATGCTGTATATATTTCATAAAAATTTTATAAAATTTTGCTAAATTGATTACAATTATTGTTATCACATTTCTGATTATTATGTTACTTTTACAATTTAATAAATTTTTTTGCTATTATCAAAATATTAATATGATATTTATATGATATTTATTCAATTTATTATTGTTATTTTTAATATATAAATATTATAAAAATATAACATATTTTTAATTTATATTTAATTTTTACAAAATTTTTAAAGTAATACTTGTAATATTTTATAAATTTTTTTGTTTTTATTATACATAATTATATTTTATAAGTCTATATGTTTATTGTATAATAATTGATACTTTAAGTCTTTGTTATAAGATATCAAGTTTAATTTTAGGTAAAGACAATTGAATTGATTTAATATGTTGCAATGGTAGGAAATAACAAGTTTATTGCTTATATAAAGGTCTGGTTATAACATATTATACAGCAACTAAGTAGGTTACTTTGCACCATTTAGCTAAATGGCTTATGTCAATATTGATATTATCTTTTTCTTGTCTTGTAAATGAAAGAAGCAATTGAATTTGATCAACTTTCATTTGTAGTTCACGTGATTACAAATGAAAAAGAAAATATAATATGGAAAATAGAACACACAAACATTTATCACATAAGTAAAATTTATATGTAAATTAGGTACACTTGCTTTGTGAAGATAAACATATGTTTATTTTTTATTTAATAAAGGCTAGGTATGGTTATATATGTTTTCATTATTTTAATTGTTCTAATTATCTTTATTATTTCTTTATTTCAATTATTTTTATTATGATACTCAATATAGAATTATGTAATAAATCACACCTTTTTTTATATAACGATATTAAGTATTATGATTTGTTAAATCCTATTTTTTATATTGTTGTGGGTAAAAAGTAGGCACAGTAACGTGACACGCCATCGCGTCACATAATTAGAGTGTTATGAGATCGACGGTGGGAAAAGTTAGAGGTGGATAAGTTTAGGTGTGGGAAAGTTTATTGGTGGAAATTTCTAGAGTAGTGTAGAATAGCGATCAGACGTAAACATGTAAATAACAGGCGCATGTATAAATACATGCGCCATTCAGTAGCATGTGAGGAGGGAAGTCGAGTTGAGAGTCGAACGCATTAAGTAATAAACAATAAAGTAACGTTTAACGGATAAACTCTTACTTTGTGTTTAGTGTGCCAAAGTAAACTGTAACTTGGCTACGCGACTACAAGAGAGAACCAAGGATTGCCTAAGGGAATTGGCATTGGAAGGGTTCTAGGCTAGTCGGTAGAGAAGTTAAAGTGAGAGAACGGCCAAATCGGAAACACGCCTCAAGAGTTAGAAACTTACCTTATTGTGAACAGAAGTGACGACCAGTAGTGTGGGCTGGACGGTTAGCCCGTGACAATATAAAATTATTTGTTGTACCGATTCAATAGATATTAAGATTGTGATATCATTAAAGATACTATAGTATAATGAATATCTAGTTAGTGTTATAATAATTAGTGTCAAGTTGGATGCTTCAATTCATATGCTTGTTATTTTATCCTATAATTTATAAAAAAAATGAAATTTCTCATATCCCAAGCTATAACTAACAGTTCTTCAGTTTCAATGTCACTATCAACAACATTGAAACTGAAAATATAGAACATGGTATGTTAGTTACCTCCTAATTATACAACCATTCTCTTATTTCTGTCTGGTACTACTTGCTATTTTTATATTACAGAGAACAATTCGCAAAAGCTGCAGGTGGTACTTATCTTAATTCAATATTCATAATATAATTATTAAGAAGGATAATTAATAAGAGCCACAGGTGATAAAGATGGTGTTCTGAAGTAGTAATAGTGATGGTAATAGATTATTGTAGATAGTTATAAATTAATACTCCAGTGAATTTATTATAGATAGAAAAATTGGAAGTCACGCAGAGATAATACCTGAAATGTAGAGTATAATCATTTTTTCATGTGTGCCTAGTCAAATTATAATAAACAAGTCATTTATAAAATAAAAAATATATAATGATAGTTATTTTTTTTATATTAAATCTTAAATAATTATTATATACCTAAGACTTATTGGTCAATTACCTTATATTTTATAAACTCATCTACTGTACTTCATCTTATACAGTATTTCACAAACCCATCCACTCCGTCTTACGTTTCGCAAACCCATCTACTCCGTCTTACGTTTCGCAAACCCACACATTACATCTCACTCTGCCTTATGTTTCGCAAACCCATCCACTTTACCTTACTTCACCTTACATTTCGCAAATCCTTCCACTACATACTTCGTTAACCTATCCACTCTACCTTACATTTTCATTTTGCCCTTGACCTTAAGTTTCGCAAATTCACCCACTCTTACATCTCGCAAATCTTACATTCCTACTCTAATTACCTTGTGTCTATAAATCTGCCTATTTAATATTACATTTACATTTCTGTACTATTATTCACAAGCGTTTTTATGTTTTATAATAAGTACAAAAAAAAAAAGTTATTTTTATTATTTTTATTCATTCGTATATATGCAATGCATCATTAAAAAATCCGTGCATAAACCGGCAGGTACGTACACTACGGGGGGATGCTATACACCGCGACCCAATTATGTATATTGATTTCCCTATAACAGTACTGTATACCGTAATCATTTTTATATTATTGTACCGTGTAACTGATACAGGTCGTGGTCACTTTAAGTGCATGTAACCTAATCAAAACCATAATACTATAGTCAGATGAAATTTATCTTTAAAACAGAATAAACGGTAAATAGCCAAGAAGATTCGTTGTAAAAATGTTTTTCCTGAATACATAGTGTATGCAGTAGATGTCGAGTGAAACTAGTACGAAGTAATATCAAAGGAATTCGGATGCAAGAATAATAGTAGGGAAACCACATTTTAGATTCCTGTAGTTTGGCGTGAATTAACATGGATTGCGCAACCGAAATCTCATAAAAACAAATAAGGAAAGTTTTCTATTATTTTAATAAAAATGTCTATACATTTAAATGAACTATATCCAAAATAAGACGCGTAATTAGAAAAAAAAAAAACACGAGAAAATATAAATTTCAAATCAATTCTTTTGTTGATACAACAGAAAGGATATTTCTTTTCTTTTCTTTTCTTTTTTTATAACGAACAAGCGTCCTTTTCTTAAATAACCATTAACAAACGGTTATTAATAATATGGCAATCATGAAATTCAAAAATTATCTCAGAGCATTTATGCTTCTTGCTCTTACCTTGACAACATCAGCCGAAGTATCGTTTGAAAATTTTGTCGTTTTCGGGGATGAGTTATCTGGTAATCTTTATATACAATATTTTTTAACGTTAATGCAATTGATAGTTAATCTAAAAAGCTGCCTATCCACACATACAGACACTGGTAATGCATATAAGTTGACAAATTACGAATACCCACCGTCACCACCTTATTACAAAGGACGATTTTCTAATGGAAAAAATTGGGTGGATTATTTTGTGGAAGAACACGATCTCTGCTTATATAATTACGCCTACGGAAGCGCTTCCTCTGAGTATGTGCATTGCATTGATTCATATCTTTCTTCTTCATTATTATCACGAGTTATTAACAATATATTATTTGATAATAGCAACACGCTAGTTCCAACTTTTACGGGTCCAAAGAACGTAAGCGTTCCCGGAGTCTTTCAACAAGTAAATCAATTTTTGGAGAAAGACTGCAAAAAAATCAATGTTGAAAAAACTTTATTTGCGGTAATGTTCGTCCCTTCTTTTTTTGTTTTCTTAAATGCACATTTTTTAACGTAAAGAACATTGCAGGTCGCAGCGCTTTGCGCCGACTATGTCTTTACTCTTGGACAAATTGATGCTGCAGAAGTTGTAGAACGAGTTGGCAATTCCATTAAAGCACTTCATGAATCCGGTGATGCCAAGTATATTTTTATTTCACCTATTCCGCCAGTTGATCACGTTCCGGCAATAAAAAGTTTACCCACTGAGACCGCTGAGCTGATAGAGAGTAAGATTGCACTTCATAATAAACTTCTCTTTCAGTTCCTTGACGACTTTCAAGCTAAGCACTCCGAGGTTAAGTTATATGTCCTCAAAAATATGAATGAAATAATTGATCATATGTTTGAACCCAAGATATTAAAAGAGCTGGGCATTACTGTTACCGATAAACCTTGTGTACCGGACAATGGATATGCAGGAAAAGATAGTATTGTTTGTGATCATCCTGAAGAATATGTATTTTTTGATACTTTTCAGGCTTTGAATACCAAAATCTACAAATATATATCTGATGAAGTTACCAAGCTTGTATGGCTTTGAATACTAAAATCCATGAATGTATATCTTATGAAGTTACCAAGCTTGTATATTAAATGTACTTTGGTAGGATTATTATATAGAAATAAACAGTAAACAAATTATACTTGTCATTACTTGTGTCAGAACACGCGTAACTTTAGGGTATCTTGTAGCTTTATTCTCGAGGTGCATTGAGTTTAACGCGCAAACTAATAATAAAACCAAATGGATAACATGTAAATTTGAACGAGGATTTTTTTTTTACTTTCTATTGTTATCAGCACAGTGAAAACTAATATGGGATATAGAATGAGGGATCTAAAAAGTTTAATAATTTAAGTTGTGTATTGTATGTATTTACTGCGTCTCCAATTGACAATGCTATTGATACAGTGTGTGAAGGTAAATAATCGAGATGTAAAATCTCGAAAATCTAAAAAAAAACAAAAACGATAAAAGCATGAATTTAGAAATATATTTTATTACATTTATTGTACTTAATTTTTATATATTAATAAAATCATTTAAATCATAGTTTGTCTTTATTATTATCGATATTCCGATTATTTAGTTTATTACTAACATTATTTTATTATTTTAGTCATTTATAAATTTTCTTTTTAATGGTTCTAAAATAATTTAAAACATTCTTGTCATAATGATTATTGCAAACAAGCATTAATGTGAAGCTTTATTAAGCAAAAAGTTTACAACCCAATGATTCTTAAATTATTAATAGAAATGTATGTGTGCAGTACAGTATATACTGTATAAATTTTATTAAATTACAAAGTATATTAAAAATTTTATTATTAAATCAAATACTATAAATATTTGTTTGAATTTAATAATACTGTAATATTACAATATATGGATTTTGTTGAGAAATAATTTTACTTGATATTTAAAAAAAAAATTATTATTAAAATATTATATATTCAGTTATTGCTAATAACCAATTAATAATTATTGCAATCAATAAATAATTATAATTAAAATACAATTTTTTTGATTGCTGAATTTAATTTATTATATTAAATTAACTTATTTTTTATAACAAAATTTAAATTTATAAAAAAAATTTTTTTTCAATTAATATTAAATATTTTGATAATTACAATGCGTAATGACATTTGTCGTAAAAGAATTTTATTTAAAAAATAAAATATATCGATAAAATTATTTATATCATGACAAATATTACCATTGATCAATTAAAAAAACATTTTATTTCTTTTTTTTTGAATTTTTTAGTACAAAATACAAGTATTGTATATAGACTTACGTATATAATATAACATATACAGTATAAGAGTTATTGATATCGATATTAATTAAACCAATATTACAATACGATATAATAAATTCTTTAATTTTATTATTTAATTTTCATCTTTGCAATAAACACGTGATTAATATCTTATCTCGCTCGATCCAGTTTATGACCGGTTACGATCCTGACGGTCAATTAATCGAGTGGGGTAATGGTGATCTCAACAAAATATTCAAACTATCCAAGAAATATGACAAATTACAGAGCGACAAGGATCTTGCGTTAGGGCGAACAAACAAGAGAAAAAGATTTAGATTAAAAAAAAAAATGTTGCGAGTTATACAACGAATCCGTCATTTAATAGATGAGTGCCATCACCAGCTCGCGAGATGGTTGTGCACGAATTACGAGATCATCTTGTTACCTAAATTCGAATCTTCGAGAATGGTTTTAAAGAATAAGAGAAAGATTCGGTCGAAGACTGCTCGCGCAATGCTGACTTGGTCGCATTTCAGGTTCCGGATGTTCTTACAACATAAGGCAAGGGAGTTCCGCATTTGCAAGATCATCGAGTGCACCGAGGAATACACGTCCAAGACATGCGGGTGTTGTGGGTTCGTGAAGAATGACCTCGGAGGATTAAAAACGTTCAAATGTGATTCGTGCGAAGTGGAGATGGATCGGGACACGAACGGTGCCAGAAATATCTTGCTCAAATATTTGACAGAGGGTCAGGATTTGGCCTGACTTTGGGACTTGAACCTATATGGGATACGATATGCATAGTAAGGACTAACTTTATTTATTCATATTGGATTCAATTTCAAGGAAATACCGCAGATGGATTACTCAAATATTATTTATGCCTTACCACTCTTAAATCAATAGATTGATTAAACAATTTAACAGAATTTTGTGTAAAACTCTTGCAAAGTTAATAAAAGGCAAAGAAAATTAGAATTAGCATATTTTGCAAATACTTTTTATTTATAGAATATTGAATAATAATGACATTATTTTATTTACTTTATAAATAAAATATTGTCTTCAATCAATAATTCTTGATCAATTGTATACTTTATTAGAAAATCTTTCACAGTAACAAAAACAAAAACAAGCAAGAAGAAATATTTACAAAAAAAAACAAAAACAGAAATAAATATTTGATTAAAAGATGATAAAGTATAAGAAATTGAAAATTAAAAACAATATCTTAATATATAATATTATTAAAAACATATATTTTACAAAAAAATTGAAATCAAAATAAAAAGAATTCTTTTATATTTATAATATTTTGTCAAATAATATTTTTAAGCTTAGAATAATGGAAAAAAAAGTTCTTATTGCTCTATTGATTTTTTTTTTGAAATTATATTTTATCAAGTAATATAAGAACTTAATATACATATACAAAAAAAAATATTCTTTAGCTATTGAAGAGTTTAGTATTCAGGTTATGTGATATAAATTCAAATGCTTAAGTAATTTTGTTTTTTACTTTTATCAAATTCAATATAAACATTATCAAATTCTTAAAAAAAAAAGAGTTTGAAAAAATTAAAAAAATAATTAAAAGATTTAATATAATAAAAATAATTTACTGAATACTTTCTGTTTATTATAATCATTTTACTAGACATATTTAGCAACTATTGTATTTTTTATAATAAATCCACAAACTAAAAAAACAAAAAAAAAACAAATCTTTAATTAAATAAAAAGAAAAAAAAAACCTGTCAAAAAAAACAAGTGCAGAATTTTTCAGTAGATAAAAAATATATATAATAAATAATTTTATGTGAAAATTAGCTAGATTGATATAATATTAAATATTATATTATATTGATTCAATTGTTTTATCTAGAATAAAACTTGATATTTTATAATAAAAATATGAAAATATTGATTATTGTATTATTAATTTACAAGTTTTAATATAATAAATAATAAATAATAAGCCTATAGATCAATAGCACAATGGATAATGCTTTTAGATTTTCAAATACATGTCTTTAGTTTAATATTCACAGGAAACAAAATACATAAAATATTTTTTATTTATGGGTTTATCAATTTTTTCACAAATATTATACTCAAATATTCAAATCCAAACCAAACTTAGTTAGACTACATAAAAATGGAACCTCGGTTGTTCAAATTATTATAAATTGAAAACAGATCAAAATAGGAAAGATTGCATAAAGAAAAGCTTCTGATTTAATTTCAATAAAAGCTTACAATTTCTCCTGACATAAAGATAGATCCTTAAATTAAAGGCGAGGAAATAATTCAAATGTCCCTTACTATTAAAAAGTTTTTTTTAAAATATAAAATCAAAAAAAAACTACTTACAAAAGTTTTTTGCAATTTAGGCCACTTGATCCAAATGTTTTTTGAATTATGTCCTTATTAAAATAATAATTAATTAATTATATCCTTTCAAAAGAAATATAATTGATCTGCAAAATTTTATATACTAAATAATTTAGAAATCCATCTTTATCCTGATATAACAAACTTTATAGTATAACATATTAATACAAAATAGAAAATCTTGGAAGAAATTATTAATATAACACTAGTCAAAATTAGATTATTTAACAATATAATACTCATTAATTATTCAGTATAAAAATAAATAATTTATCAATAATTCATTAATCATTATCAAATTATTAATAATATATTTATAAATTGTTTATTATATATTAAATAATTAACAAGTAATATATTGCTAAATAATCTAATTTCAATTAATATGAATACTAATATATGATATAAGTAATCTTTTCAATATTATTTTTATATAAAACTTATACTATACTTGACATTTATGCTCCTAAATTTGACAATTTAAGTTAATTAAATTTTCTTAAAATATCTATTATAATATTTTAAAATTGTATCCACTTGATATCTATGTTTTTAGATTTAATAACTTGTATCAACTAAGGACTGCAATTTTTGAAACATTTATTAAGAAGTATATAAATATATTAAAAGTCTTCTGTAATTGTATAACCTATAAATATAATATAAAAAATATAATCTATCAAGTATTAATTATGTTTTTAAAAAATATCCTTTAACAAAAATAAATTAGCAGATTATATGATTTAAACTAATGATAGAACTTTCACCTTCTATATAATTTCATCTAATACAGTATGTGGGCTTCACTTCTCATATAAAGTTCATATTATTGAATTATATATGTAAATTGGTTATAGTTAAACTTACAATTAATAGTAATATTAATATAGATAATTTTTTTTAAAGGTAGATAGTAATTTATTGATCACTATAATTTTTTTTCCCGTAATCAAACAAGTATTTATTGTGTTTATTTAATCTTATAGAAGAAGACATAATTGTTTAGAGACATTTATGCATAAACTAATCACTTATACTTGAATACCCGTCTTAGATTATTAACCTCTAGATATGATTTTGGAGATGAATAAAGTTGCTCCCTTTCATTTTCCATTCCTGAGAAAACTCAAGTTCATCACCTGCAGTTCATCACTACAGTTCACCTTGGCAACATCTTGATTACATTATATTCCTAACCATTTTTTCCCTTCCTTGATTCTTTCCCATAACGCCTTTGCAACTCCTGATCTGTAATCTGTACTGACCTTTGTTGATGAGGATTCTCCTGGTTTGGATTCTGGTGAATCCTGGTGGGTCTTCTTTCCTCTTTTCTTTGGGTTTTGGGAATGATCTGGGTCTTGGTTAGATGAGG